TTAGTAGTCAGATAAAGAATGTCAGGTGTCTAAAAGACAACCAGCTCTCCTGGATGGTTGTGTCTTGAGACTGGTGGGGCAGGAAAGACACCAAACTAGAGAAACAACTGAATTTAGTTCTAGAAACTAAAGCACCTAAGTTTCTAGAATTATAAATTTAGTCAAAAAGAAAAAAACTTCACAAAATAGCATTGACCTACCTAATACTTGTCAGTCCATTTCTCCAGAGATTATGAATCAACATACTAGTGTTGAAACATAACTAATATTATAAAATTGTCTTGCACATTGACAGTCACTTTGTGTTTACTCTGTTGCTTATTCAAGAGTGCCATGTTTCTTACTCACTATAGGGCTCATTATCTTGGCAGCATATAAAATCTTTATTACAAATGCTAGCTTGCCTTTCCACCTACATCAGTTTCTGTTTCTTCTTTGCAGTGCCTGTATCATTACAAACTTCTCATGGTTCTCCAGATGTACTGTGGCATTTTCTGTCTCTGGTTTGTCACAATGATTTATACTACACCTATAATCCTTCTCTCATTCAAGATGCCAAGATTCTATAATAATATGTACTCATATGATCTCTTAAAATGAAATGAATAATTTTATTCATTTTTGTCATATCTGGTGGTCAACTCAACACTTGATATAAAGCCATGTTCATATCTCATAGTTGAATTTTGATCTGTGGAAATATGATTGACTGAAATATTGAAATAATTGATATAGAAAAGTTATACTATATAATCAATAATGAATTTTGTAACAATTAGTGAGTACTTATTATTTTCTTAGCATTCTAAAATGAGTTAATTCATACCAGTTTGCTCAGACAACTTTTGGTCCTATAATTTCAACTTTGTTTTAGAAATTGGACTGAAACCCAGGGGGATGAAACCATCTTCCCAGGAAAACTCAGCTAAAAAGAAAAAAATCAAACCCTGATTGAATCTTGTTTGTCTGAACATACAGATCATAATCCTCTGTTCCACTGGCTTCCATTTATATAATGAAAGTATATTTATAACAAATGATAAAAACTAGGCCCTCCTAGTTTTAGTTTTAGCATTTTTCCTAAGAATGCTGACATTGCTTTGGACTGTAACATTTGAAGAGTAGATTAAGTTCTTTTAAAGTCTTAAGAAAACTGTGTTAGATAAGAGCATCTTAGAATGTTGTATGTGTATGTATTCACTTTGATTATTTAGCCAGGAATAAATGGCCCAGACCATACGAACCAATATTCACAGTATTACATAGTTCTCTCATGATGTTTCTTGCTTGTTTGTTGTTTGCTTTGTTTTCTTTTTTGGTTTTTTCTTTTCTTTTCTTTTTTTTTTTTGAGACAGGGTTTGGCTGGTTGTCCTAGAACTCACAATGTAAACCAAGCTGGCCTTTAATTCACAGAGATCCACCTTTTTTCTATCTCCCAAATGCTCAGATTAAAGTCAGAAAGTACATAAATTTCTGGAGTCACAGGAAAATCTCACAAAGTAATATAAACAAGAGCTACAGAAAAGGTTTAATGATAAGAGTACTTGTCATGCAAACAGAAGAATCTGAGTTTACATCTGAAGCATGCATGGTAAAAGCCAGCTATGACAATGTAGACCTGTACTCTAAAGCTAGGAGGGCAGAGATGAGATCTTTCAGTCTCCCTGGCAGTCAGTCTAGCCAAGACAGTGAACAAAGGTTCAATGAAGACCCTGTCTTTAAAAATAAAATGGAGAGTCATTTAGAAAAACATCTGATGTAGACCTATACACACACGTGCACACACCAGCACATACCAATATACCAAACATGCACAAACAGAAAAGATACTAACACATTCCTAAAAAGTAGTGTTTGGAGGACTTGATGAGTCCACTGAATAGATTACCTCTTACATAGTGAAAACCTCATTTTCTTTCATGTTTACATCAATCAATGCAGAGCAGACATCCTCGTTACTAATGCTATATAAGCATCCTATGACATATTTTAGATATTTTGGGAGAGGTGATGAGATAAGAATAAGGAATGATCTACATTCACAATGTGGAAGAAATTGTACATAAATACAAGGCAGGCATCTGTGAGCCTGATCTGGCTAAAATTCCAAGGCCTCTGAAGGCAAATGCCAACTACTTTAACCCCCATCAAGTGGCTTAGCAGTTTATCTGTTAGCATCATACTCTTTGATGATTTTGAGACAGACTTTACTAGCAGATAACATGCTTTTGTGCCTTAGATTATTTCAAAGATACATGTTACATGCTAAAGTCTAATATAGTTGACCTAGGAGACTTAGTTTCAATCAAAATGGCAGATTTATTGGTCTTTTGGGGGGTCTCTCCTATTTTTATTGTGTTGTTGTGATAAAACATACTAACTAAAAGCAACTTAGAGAAACAAGGGGTTTATTTCATCTTATAAGTCCATATTATAATAGAGAAGTCAAGGCAGGAAGTTCACATAGCTAGTCATATCTCCACACAGCCAAGAACAGAGAGAAATGAATGCATGTAAGTTTACTTACTTGTTTGTGCTGGCTTGATTTATCCAATTTCTCCATCCTAATACAGTTCAGGACAAACTCTCTAGGGGATGTTGCCACCCACAGTAGGCTGGTTTTACCCACATCAATTAACTTAATTAACACAATCCCTCATAGATATGCCCATAGGATATCCCTAATCGAGATTATATTCCTAAGTAATCTGCAGCTGTATAAAGTTGACAAAGAAAGCTAACCATCACAGGGGACAAGCCAGGTTTGGAGCATTCCATTTTGTTTTCCCACCACTTTATCTACTTTTCACTGTGACACCTCTTAGATGCTGACTCAATGGGGCTCCATTTATTAATGAGAGAACTAAAAGGAGGGTATTTGGAGAACAGAAATTCAATAGAAGACCAGTACATTTATTTGGGCAGGTTCTTGTTAAAATCTGATGTAGTATCATGTTGGAATACCTCACACATCCCTGTGAGAGGGGCTCGACATGCCTTTTGTTTTGCTAATGTCTTTTATTGATCACTACATCTGTCATCTTTCCCATGAAAAGCATTTGAATGAATAAAATCCATTTCTTCTTGGGAAAAATTAACTCCTAGTTAATTATGTCACACATTTCTTATGACAATTAAACATAAATTCAACTTTTAGAGATTTTATTTTTTACTTAAAGAATTGTAGTGTGTGTGTGTGTATAAAATATTTCTAAAATAAAACAAAATAGCATAACTGCTCCAAAAACTAGTTAAACATTTTACATAGTTTGCTACTAGGAGGTTAGAATTTTAACGTTCTGGAGTACAGAAGGTAGTTTGGTAGTTGCCGTGTCATCAGCAATGCTGAGGATGACAGTGGTATGCTAAAGTAACCTGAATCGGACCATGGAAATACACAACATACTCAGCAACCAGGTTCCAGTGTCTGCTCCTTTGGAACAGGAATTCATATGAAGCTCCCAGGACCAGCACCTGACAAGTCCAATGTTTATGACTTCAAACACACATATGACCAGATGTACAATGATCTCCTCAGGAAAGATAAAAAACTCTATACACAAAGTGGAATTTTGAATAATGTTGAACAGAAATAAAAGGATCAAACCCCATCCAGAAAGGTTCCAGAACTTCATGAACCAGTTTGACCTTATCTTCACTTGTAAAGAGAGAGTCTATAACCAGGTTGTAGAAGATCTGAACTCCTGAGAACAGGAGACCTGCCAACCCGTTCATGTGGCCAATGTGGACATCCAGGACAACCATGAAGAGGCCCCTCTGGAAGCATTCCTTATCTGTGAGTTCTGCCAGTATATCCAGCACACTGAGGATATGGAGAATGAAATCGATGAGCAAAAGTTCGAGGAGAAGAGTGGCCAGGCCTTTCTGCATACTATATGCTTCTACTTAGCCACGCATGCTTAGTACATGGACTTCCCTGCACAGCCACCTTTGTTGAAGCCACTTTTTCAATGTGTTTTCCCCTCTGATATTTGTTTATACTGCTAGGTGTACATCACCAATGTATTGAACAGTACACAGAAATGCCAGATTCAAATCCATTGTTTATAACCAAAAGAAATAAAAATGGTTTACTCTACAACTCCTGCCAAAAAAAAAAAAAAAGGATTTTAAAGTTCTATTTACTTGGATGCACTGTATTATTGTGTATTGTTATAGATAAGCATGAAATCATATTTATTATTATTTATTTCAAAATAAGAGTTTCACAAAGATATAAAATCATCTGTGAAATCTTTGTGATATTTATACTAATACTAAAGCTTTGTGATGCTCACTGTTGAATGAAGGTGAAGGCATAAACCTAAATCTCTTTAATACACTATACATTTTCCAAAACTGTTGGATGGTTTTTAGTCAGGGCAGGGATTTTGCTGTTGATCTTCAAGAGTTTCAATAGGGTTCAAAACAATGAAAATGGGTAAATATTTCCAGCTTCTATCATCTATCTATGATGTCTGTCCTCAGCTTGTTACACTTTAATAGCTCTGGTGCCATCTCATTATCATAACATTAGTTTGAGGTTTTAGTCTGCTTCTCAGTAGTATAAATTTGTCACCCTGCAACACTAATCTACTCACAACTACAACTGACATTACTTATTGTAACAACTGTCTACTTACTGTTACAATATTGCAAGGTTATTTCTGTGACAATAATGTAAAACATATGGTATCTTAAATAGCTTTGTAAACTTTATCAGGAATAGATAATGCTATACTAATGTGGTAAGTGGTTAGATGGTGACTGAATTGGGCTTTGATTAAGTGAAAGTACTGTATGGTTCATTTTTATTTGGGTTTCTATGATTTGACATGGGATTTTGCTATGTAGGTATTGCTGTCCTGGAATTTGCTGTGCTCAGGCTGTCTTCAAAACCACAAAGATTCTCGTGTCTCAGAGAAATCCATGCAGAACAAGTAAACACTAGAAACTTCTGCACTCTACCTTAACTCTCTTCTCTTCTTTTCTCCCAATAGGAACTTTTTACCCCTGAATGCAAGTTTAAAGAGTCTGTTTTTGAAAACTATTATGTAATCTACTCATCCATGCTGTACAGGCAACAGGAATCTGGCAGAGCCTGGTTTTTGGGATTAAATAAGGAAGGGCAAGTTATGAAAGGAAACAGAGTAAAGAAAACCAAACCAGCAGCTCATTTTCTACCCAAGCCATTGGAAGGTGAGTATACCACACGCATCATCCTCTTAGGTGCTGCTGCAAACTCTAATTTTCACATGGATACGTCTGGTATGGCCACAGGAACTTTCCAGAGACTGATAGAAATGTTCTTTATTGGAGTGGTGTTCACATAGATTTCTCCTTATGCTGCTTTGCTAAGCTTCATGGGGCCACCAAGTGCAGGTTTGTGGTAGAAGCTGTGCATAACATATGTAGGAGGAAGGATTTTCAGTCCTGGTACCAAAGAGGGGGAATAAAAACAAGAAAAAAATGTTTCCGTTATATATACCTGACTGTGTATATGCTCTGCCTGCATGTGTACATGTGTGCATGTATGTGTGTATGGGTGTGTGTATGTATATTCATGTATGCATATGTGTAGCAGAAAACTTTCAATGTCATAAATCTTAATTATTCCAAATGCTCTAAGTACTTCATGACTTTCAATTATTTTCAAATAAAAATCTGTGTTCTTATGAATATATAATGATACATATATAAGAAAAATATTTTCATGTGGGACTTTAAGGATTGGCCTATTTTCAGAATATCTAGATAAATTTTCTTTTAAATTATTATAATTCATGAAGATAACCCTTAAAGAACTCTATAAAGTCCCATGCTACATAAATCATTTTCCTTTTATTAAATTATTGTTCTTGTATTAAAGGAACTTACCTACCTTCAACTCTAAATAATAGCTCCTTCACATTTACTTCATAAAGCCTAGGCTTATTCTGCCAGAAGAACTATTTACTGTTATTTATGTTAAAAATTAGAGCTGAAAAAATGACTTTAAGGCTATTCCAAAGTTTTCTGAAGAAGCGAATGAGGAAAAAAAAAAGCGACCAAGTTTAGCCTGGCTTCCTGGGATAAAAGAAAAGGCCACCAGGTCCCTCTAGAAACTGACATGGTACTGGCAGGGATTTCCTGAAGGTTGTAGCCCAGCTGATCTATAGAGAATTTCAGTTTGTTCTTCAGGTTTGATGCTTTGGAGTTCCTCAGTATTACTTCCAACCACGGAGCTGACCCCAGTCTTGCTCCTTTAGGTAGGTCAGGTTTGAGACATATAATAAAATCACGAGGGCCACAGAAAACATCAGAGATTCTCCCTCTATGCCATAAACAGTAAAATAACAAATAAATACTTTTTCTTGGTATTTCACCTCTAAGCTGAACTGTTGTGTGAGTATGGTGTGTACATATGAAGAGAGAAAAGTACTATTTTATCATGTTTTAAAATAATTCGTAGACAGAGGTACTCTAACCAAAACAAGGTGGTGTACTTTATTCTTTTAAAACATTACTTCTGAAACACAAATGCTTAACAGTGAAGATCGTTAGAGGAATATGAATTTTAAACTTTATAAGCCCCGGTAATGTATAAATAATGCAACTGAAAGCTTTAGGACAAGTACAGACATTTCCATGGGATTATAATTGTTTCTGAATACTCTGGGCAGTAATATCTCCCACTCAGCTTTATTTCATATGTGATGTAAGTCAAAGCTTTGATACTACTGGGTCCTGATTTGAGTGGGAGTGAGAGACTGGAGGTGCTTCAAGAATGAAGACTGTCTTTTTATTTTTTCTTTTAAAGTTAAAAATAGATTTTTAATACAATTTATTCTGATTTTTGTTTCCCTTCCCCCCCAACTCCTCCAGATAGTCCCCATTTTCCTAGCCACACATGTCCACACTCTTTCTTCCCCTCTATCCTTAAAAAAGAAACAGACATTAAAAATAATAAAATTAGATAAAATAAACCAAATAAAAAACAAACAAACACAAAAAAAGCCAAAGAGCGAGCTCAAGATACACATACAGATTCAGAGACCCACACATTTTCACACACATGGAAATCCCATAAAAACACAAAACCAGAAACCAACACATATATACAAAGTAAGAAAACAAAACAACAAAAACCCTAAAACCCTGAAAAAGTATTAGGAAACAAAGACTCTCTAATAAACATTGTTGAGTTCATTTTGTGTTGGCCATCTACTGCTGAGAATGGGCTTAAGCCTTAAAAGTGTTTTGTATAGCCTGTGAGACTTGATTGGAGAAAATTATTTTTTTCGTTTGTGAGGGGTTATCAACTGGACACAGCTTCCTGGGTTAGAGACTGGCAACTTTTACATACTTTCCAAGACATTTAGCTCAGTGTACATTTACTTTTGTAAGTATGCTAAGAAAAACTATGAGATACATCGATGCGGATACAAGACCCCTCCATGGCACTTGGGGAATTGATCCTGATTCCACCTAGGGTCTTTTCTGAAACTTCTAAGATTTCAAAACCCAAGTAGCTTGTTGGGCTGTTCGACTGTAATTATATTTCTGGTGGCAAATGACTTTATGTCAACTAATTTTTCCAAATGTAAGATACTCTTAAATACTCTTCCAGGATTCCCTGTAAAAAGTAATTTCTAAAAACGTGTCATGAAGCATGGTACTCATGTCACCAGGCACAACTCAGCCAGTTCCTCAAATTTTTCTCAGGCATTAGTCTCAGTTGTTGTTACTGTTTTATACCTCCATCCTACTAACTTGATTTTTAAATGATGAATCAAAAATAGATATAAATATATAAATGGCCCACGGTTGCTTTCAGTTGTAAAAGGCCTTTACTATGATAGTGGGAAAAATACAATTATTCATAGAAGGCTCTGGTTTAAGCAAAAGGAAGCCTTTATTACTAATGTTGTGTGTGTCTTTCAAGTGGAACCCAGTGTGACTGTATGTCTTTTAAACCACTAGAGAGAAAAATAGCTTAGTGATCTCAGGTGAAAATAGAATTTAGTCAAATGGTTTTCTCCTGGAGAGAGGCAGACACACGCATGCTCATGCATGCTTAAATATTATGTGTGCTTTGCTATATTGATCTACAAAGAGGCCATAGCTTTTATTTAATCTTTCCTAGAAAAAAATCTAAGTACATATATATGCATGTATTTCATGGTACAAATTAGAGAGTGCATTGAAAATGATATTTTAACTTATGGATTGGGAATGGCTGCCTTAAAACTACTGTCCTGTTATCAATGGGATTGGGTTCATTCGCAGAAAACAGACACAGACTGGCTGAGGTCTATGCAAAAAGTGATGTGCCATTCTTGCACGGTAAAGAGATAACCTCTTCCTTTCCTCTCCCTTTCTTTATATCCCTAGTTGCCATGTACCGAGAACCATCTTTGCATGATGTTGGTGAAACAGTCCCGAAAGCTGGGGTGACGCCAAGCAAAAGTACAAGTGCATCTGCAATAATGAATGGAGGCAAACCAGTCAACAAGTGCAAGACCACATAGCCAGATCCTCAGGTGTCCTGACTTATTTGTCCCGAGCACAGTGGAGCGATTTATCCTTGCTAGACATTCCTGCTCCGGAAAAGCCCCAGCAAGCAAGCTGATGCTTGTCCTATGCTGTCTCAGACCTCCTTTGTTGCAAGTGGATAAATCTCAACCTGTGGTCCCCCTGCACCAAGAAGACACCTGGACAAACCAGCTAAACTCAGACCATGGAATGCCCTACCAGATATGGAATGCCTTTTTAATATCTTTTCTGTGACTGTGACACTTCATGTGAATGACATACTTCACAAGTACACTCAATACCTTGCCTGCTGACAGCTACCCATAATCCTTTTTGAGTCCTGTTTCAACGAAATCCATGTGTTTAAGTTCAATTTTGTAGCACACAAATAATATTGAGTAATTTCTAGTTAGATGCTGTAAACCTGTGCTATCATGGATTTCTCTTCTTTCCATTTTTACAGGGCTGCTCGCTCCACTGTCTGTGACCTTTAGCAGGGATTGTGTTCCTCTGAATTTTCAATGTTGCAGTTGGTTTGCTTAGGAGAACAATTAGGGAATCAGGAAGCCTTCTAAACTTATTACTACAAATAGTATCTATAAAGATTAAGATTGTTGTCTTTGGCTCACATTATCGATTAAACACACATATATGCTCTGTCTAGTAGGAGACGCTGTGCTCCCGAGGTAGGCATTGGCTGGGTGGAACAAGGCTCAAACACAATCTGTGGAAAGCGCTCTATGATAGGTGTTTGGCATTCCCTCTTAGTTTCTTTATGTGTGTGTGTTTTATACATATCACAAGCTTACTGGTAATGGTAACATTTGCCTTGCCCAGCGAGCAAGACCCACTTAGTTTTTGAGAAAGTGGGTCCAAAGAATTCAGTAGGCCTTGTAGGCCTGATTAAGGTTCATTTTATTTTCGATTAATCATCATTGGGAAAAAAGGAATAAAAACCCAAATCATTACAACCTATAAGAAATATGCTACCTAAAACCATATTTGGCCCACTCCTTCCTGTTTTTAATGAAGATAACTCAGTGCCACACCTGATTTGGGCTGCATTCCAGTTATTCTCAACCTCAGCCAAGCATGGGCAAGGCGGCTGTTGTGTTCTTTCCTGCAGCAGCAATGCACACGTTAGTATAAATTAGACTTTAACATTTTTGGTATTTAATGACAAGTTTTAAAACTGGAAATATTGGGGGTTTTGTTTGCTTCTTTGTTTTGGATTTGATTTGTTTGTTTTTATTTTCTTTGTTTTGGTTTTAGCTCATCATGGGGCCTAGTATCCTAGATGTCATCAGTATATACCTCTAACTGAGCTCTGTGAGGCCCAAAATGGTGGGTTAGAGATGACTTGTCAAGATTTCAGAATATGGTTTGTTGAGTACCCTAAATGAAACTAAAGACAACCCAACACACTCCAGCATTAGAGGTTTGGGCCATTTGATTTATTTAATTGTTTTATTGCTTTAATTTTATTTTGAATTGAATTCTGTAGAACTCCAAGTTTAGGGATACTTAAAAAGAATGTGAATTGCTGGAGATACACCTTGAAGATTTCATGCAAAGTGTTCAATATCAGATATAGAAAGCTTCAAAATGTTTAGTACTAAATTGTTTGGAAAAATATTTGTTAACTGTATGTACACTTAATAGAATACCATGTTTTCTTCTCAGAAGAGTTCATTGAGACCAAACTGAACCTCTTTTATAGAAAACAGTTGATGTGGGATCAATGTACTGGCCTCTTGTTATTATTTCCACGTGGCAGGATGACCCACTTGTCACTGCCCCCATCTGCACTGTACTTACTGGGAAATTATTTTCTCATTGCTTTCATGAATCTCCTTGACAGCCTTTGCCCAGCATAGAAAAATTTTGGCTTGCTTAGCTAATTAAAAATTCAGTATAAATTTAAGTGTTTATGCTCATTTCATTTTCATAATAGATTCCATTTTAATAAATAAACATTAGAAAAATCTTTAAATAGATTTATTGTCAATAATGCTAAATTGCAAATACAACAAAATGACCCCTTTGACCACTCCTGATTTGGTGTTATGCATAATTACATAAAACTCATTAGCTGAGTATTTAGGGAAGACATGCATCCTTAGTATGTGGTGAAATATGAATAGCTTGTAATTCTTATTAGTTGGGCTTATAGACACAGTTTATACCCCTCTACATGCACACACATCACAAACCAGCCTACCTTTCTGTTTTTGATAATCAACACTACTTGAGATTTCTGTTCTCAAGACCTATTTAGTGGTTAAAATTGAGGGAAGATTTATTTTTGTAAATGACTAAGATTTATGTTAATGTTTTCTTCTGTTTTGTTTCCCAAGAGATGTCTATAAGAGCAATTATTACTGTAAGTAGGTATTCAAGGGGTTTATTCTATGTTTAGACACTTGCAATGGAGTCCTTGTTATCTTTGATTTAGTTAGAACATTTCCTTTGTGTCTGGTCTCACCTGTTGCATGGGAAGAGGAAAGCACCAAATGATCTGCATGTACTAGGACTCATGTATCCAGGAGTGCTGGTATGTATTATTCAATTTACATACAGAGAGATTGTCTGTATTGTGACAATTTGTGTTTCTTATCATTTGTTGTGTTCATAGCTATGACATATCAAATCAAATACTTATATGAAGGCATATGGAAACCACAAAATTTTTGTGTAACAAAATAGCGTTGTATCACCCCAAATATAGAGAACTCTCATGTAAATAAGTTGATAAACTCAAATTTCCCCTTTACCATGCCAAAGAAAATTTTAGCTCCTTGATGATACCTCTCTTGCTACTTTTCTGGAACAAGGTCATCATTCCTTCCCTCAGAAATTAAGTTTGCTATCATTAAATGCAATCTGTCATCACCGATGATCTGTACAGTAAATCTGATGGAACACATTTGCATTTATAGACTGTGTGTTTTATATCTTCCTGTATGTATGTTCATTGTACCAAGTCTATAGAAGACCCATTCCTTCTGCATGCATATCTGGTGGGGGAGGGTTAGTTCTATCACCTTTTTAATGGTACCTGATTGCTTTGCTTATCCACCAACAGTGCTCAATGTTCATCCTTTGCATAATTCAAGTAACACCATTTTTGTTTTCAAATAAGTTTAGTTCCTGAAAATTCTTACTACTTTCCTTGGAAATAATTATGAAAGACACACAAACAGTTTGTTCTGTGTGAAGAGCAAAGGGAACTGAGCACTTTCTTTATTTTTCTGGAGAATGTGGAGTCTTGCTTTAAGTGTTTGCTTGTTCTGGGTATTTTGGGTGAGGATTAGATCCATAATGGACACAACAACTTTTTTCTATAGTGTTTCCAGTTATTGGCTTTTTAAAAGTAAGCAAAATGTATCCTATCTGATCATTTAATTAATGATTCAACTACTAAACCATCTTTCATTCTCTCTCTAGAGTGACCAATATTAGATTTTGCTCTTTAAGAAAAAAACTAAAACAACAACAACCACAAATCCTTTGTCGTTCCTTAAAGTGAATATGTGTTACTTTGTTAAACAAATTTTCCAAACATTTCATGTATAATATGTGTTTGATATTTATCAATGGAGATTAGTGAGATTAAACTGACCAAGCTTCAAATTAGAAGAAACAAAACAATGGAAAATTATTTTCAATCTTATTTTAGGAAAAGACTATATATATCCTAGGGGAACAATTAAGTAAAATGTCTAAATATTTTCTGAAGCACAGGCTTAGTCAAATCCAGAATGTAAGCTGTGTTGTTCTGGATTAAGAGACATAGGTAGTTAAGGGTTTTACAAAGTAACACACAACACTGAGTAAGTGTCTGGAATACTGAGTAGCTTTCAGAATAGTTGTGAGAGTTGAGCTTGTAAATTAAGACTACACTGTATTTTTTCTTTGTTCTAGGTTCTCATTTAGTCTAATTCTGATATTTACTGGCAAGCTGATAGAGATAAGTCATTTCTTCCCTGGTGCTGCTAGAATCCAGATGAACTCAGGATTCCTGAAAGTCAGTAGGAACAATGGTTCTCTTCATAAATTTACAACTTTCGTTGACTTTTATAAGTCCCCTGGAGGAATTCTTCAGTTATGGTTTGCTGAATAACCAGGGTGAAGATCATCACAATTGATGAACGTAATGTCTCCTTTTCAATTATGTATCCTAGTATAACTTTTGAAAACCAAAAGTAAGCCAAAGAAATTTGTTTATTTTCTTCTACTTATTACAAATTTATCCTTGCTTGGCATTCTCAAAAAAGTACTTTCTATCTTGGAGTCAAAGTATAGACACACATTTAGATTGAAGATAGGTTATATTTTTGCCTATCTCCATATTTTTGGTTTTTGTTGGGTTTCTCCCCTTCTTCTTCTTCTTCTTCTTCTTCTTCTTCTTCTTCTTCTTCTTCTTCTTCTTCTTCTTCTTCTTCTTCTTCTTCTTCTTCATGTTCTCTTCCTCCTTCTCCTCCTCCCCCTCCTTTTCTTTCTCCTCTTCCTTTTACTATAAAAGTATGTGAAATCTATCACTTTTTTATAGATAAACTGATATTGGCGTGGCTCGGGCCAAATACAGATAGACAGACAGACACACACAAATTAGAGCAAATAAAATTAATCTTTTTTAAAAGTCCATTTTCCAAGAAAAAGAACTAATTACAGTTTAAGTTACTGTAAGGCATATACTACAATTTTCTTCCATAGTCTGTAACAATGTACCCCAGAACATGGTGACCTACAACATGTTTTCATGTTGTTCAAAATTCAGGACATAGCACACTTTGATCTACATGAGAAAATTGTTTCTCCAATATCTAAGCTCTGTTCTGAGAACACTTAAATGATCAGGCTATTTCAACACTTTTTCTTATGAACATATAAGAAAAGTAACACATACTTTTATGATAGAAGCTATTTATGGAAATGATAGAAACTAGAGAGGGAGTTATAATAATAAAAAATGAAAGGGCCATAAGGAACTGAAAGTAATTCCAGGGAAGCAAAGTCTGGCAAACTACTACACATAGCTGTGATTAAAGTCAGCCCATAATCTGTTTATGTATGGCCTTTGAGTTCAGGATAGATTTAATTTATTCCTTACAGTTTTAAAATATTTGACAATTAACAATGATGATCCCTCAGTGGTCTCTTTAATAAGCATTATCCAGATCTTTAGAGAAGGCTTGAGTCCTCTAGTAAGAAAAGCTGAAGGCCAGTTTACCATGGTGGGAAGTTCAGTGACTTTTAATGTATGGAAGTCATCAAACGCATCATCAGAACTGGTATTGAATTTTTATAATTGTTTTTTTCTGGTTTAAAATGTACTTGGAGAAATGGAAAATATATGGAGAAAAAAGAATTCAGTCATCCATACTATACCTTTAATCCTTATATTTCCCTCATCTTATAAAACTGACATTGATTACCAGCTCAGTAAGTAATAGATATACAACCAGTATGGCTGGGTCCCTAATCTCAGGATAGAGGCAACAATTTTATAAATATGTTAAATTCTGAGAAAATTATTATTATAAAACCAGCACCAGTAAAACTGACCCTTCAAATACTTCTCAGTATTTTGTTTTTAAGTAATACAGTGGAGGTGTATTTTCTTTACATTTGGAGACTTGACTGATAAAGTCCAAGCCATGATTCTAAAATATTTACATTATTAATATGAAATTTGCAAGTAAAAATTTCATCTTAAAACAAAACAGAAATGATTTTGCTATGTTATTTTGAATTTTACAAATAATTCACATTTAGGGAAAAGGTATTTTTTTAGCTCTAAATAATGGTTGATTCAACTATGTGTATAAGTAGATCTAACTGTATATATGCAAGAGAACCCCAAATATTGTACATTTTCATAATTCAATGTGAATTTCATACAGAGCAAAATTTCACCAAGAAAATAAACATTTTGTTCGTATCATTGAGTGAATATTTGTAACTTTGATTTAAACCATTTCTAGAATTTTGGGTTCTGAACTTGTAAAATCGATGTCATCATTTTTGACTCCACCATTTCTTTAAAGAGAATCATTTAAGGGAAATGAATGCAGTATGAAGATCCTCATGTTTCTAACTAGACACTGTCTTCTTCAGAGAATAAATTACATGAAGTAATCTAAATATGAAAAATCAGATTTCTTGTACATGTAACCCATACCTAGTCTTAAAAACAAGATGTGCTAGTTCTTGGGATCTAAAATGGTTATTCCAATTCATTCTTTTCTGTTGTGTTTGTTTTCCATGAGTAAATAGATACTGACACAGAATATAAACAACTTATGTCATTATTTATTAAAATGTCAAATTATGCATTTTTCATTTCTTACTGTATGAGTGTCTTGGGAGTTTGTAGCCCTTATGACCTGATAAGCCCCCAGCCCATCATCATACCTGGTATGTGTCTGTCATTATCATCTCATATACAAATTCAGAGTCATATGGAATCCTGGAAAATCTGACTGGTTGGTTTATGTGAGAATAAATATTACCCTTATATTCTGATACAGTATTTCTGGTGTTGGCATGTGGAGTACTAAATACCATGTGATTTAGCATTTTTCTACTACATCTTGGTAAACATTGGATGTCAGAAAATACTTTGTTGTAAGAGCCTTTCTATGTTTTGTAGGGTGTTCAGCATTGTCTGTGGCCACTACCTCTAATATTTCCATAACACAAATACTCCTACCTGCCAAGTCTGACCACCAAATTTTTTGTAGACATTGCCAAATATCTTGTGGGTTGCAAAATTGCCCTCTTCAATTGAGAAACACTAATGTTAATTATGGGAGAACAATTCTTTATGGTGTAACTTACATCAGTTTGCTAAAGTCATTTCTATTGAAGACACATGCTTCACTTGGGCAGTCAGAAATAGAAAAATACACAAAAGTCTGTCCTAGTGCTGTGTAACATGCTTTCCTCTGAATTTCTAAAATTGCCTAGAAATAAGAATCCAGTTGTCTCCCCTAGGATCATTAAGGATATTCAGTACCAAGCCAGATTTCACAAGCATTTCCATTCCATCCATCCCAGCATTCACAGTTTCCACAGCTACAGATTCCATTTCCTGCAATAAACACAGAAATCATGATTATGAGTAGAATATACCATTAGAATATATAACTATGAATCATAGCTGTTCATGAGAAAACCATTTATCCTTTCTAAAGTGTGGTACCATACAATAATATTATTAGGCATATGAGGGAAATCTATCTTTAAGATACTTAATGATATCTCTTTGATTCCATCATTTATTAATTGAACAGTATCTACCTTATATCAATCAGCTGGGCTCCCATATCACAATTCTATGTACTGTTAGTAGGCAAACCATGTATGACTTACAAATAAACATTGAAAAGCATAAAGTCCCTTGATATGAAATTAGGCAGGCCTGAGAGCTGGAAAAAATCCTTGTCTAGTACGGTAGACAGAAAGTGATTGTCTAATTTAATGCTATGCCAAAATAATCATCTTTAACTGAACTGAAAATGTTTGATAACAAAAAATATTTTGGGTTACAGAGAATTTTATCAATGGTTTATTGAATCAGCAAGAAATCTAATAAGTGGGCATATATTATATAATTAAAATGATAACTTCAGGAGAACACATACATAATTATTTAACTTGGTTCAATATTATTTATTCCCAATTTTTAGAGCTCAATAAATTAGATTTGATGACCATTACACAGTTAAATATTTAGTATACTCTGTTGTTATCTCTCATACCACACACACACACACACACACACACATTCATACATATATCCAGTTTCCTAAAAGCAGCCAATATACCAACTTGTGGCCTGCGAGTGCTGCTTTAAATAATACCCCTTCCGTATGGACCATATTAAAATGAAATGGTTGTCAAGCAAATTTTGTATTTGTAAAACTAACTTTGTGTGAATTTATAGAACAGGTCACCATATAATCTGGCTTCATTCTTTTGCATTCTTCTAGGGAAGATGTTGGTGTGTATTCACAGATATTCACTTTTCCTTTCGGAGTTACTATACATGGACATTGTTCATTTGTATGTATGGAAACTGCCCTCTCAGCCCTATCTAAAGCAGTGTGTGGTGGGTTTAATTTCACTCTATTGTCATTTGTGGCACAAAACAATTAGTGTGGTTCAATACTGCACCTGTGCAAATGAGACCGTCGTGTTTGTCACAGTCCCTGTCATCACAGTCACAAAACTCCCCTGAAATATACCACTCTTCTCCAGAACAAATGCACTTTCCACAATGACAAGAACCTGAAACCACAAAGGGAATTATTCACTGTCACCAGAGGAATAAAGGTTTCCATCAAGAAGAAAGTATCACTGACACACTGACAATAGACTTGCAATAACCTATCTTCTAAAGGAAAAAGTTTATTGAATAGCTGCTTCTCAGAGGGGAACTTTACTTACTGTAATACATAAAGGTCATCCAGGAAAGCCTTCATTATAGATCTAGACAGTTGCAATTAGCCTTGAGCAAATGTTCTTTGGTCCAGTCTGGTTGAAATGTCAATGAAACAGGATGTGGCTCATCCTTAGAGATGCTCTCTCCAAAAGGTATTCAAAATAGATGTTATTTGTTTCTTTTCTTTTCAATTGAATTACATTTTAAGGTCCCTGTTCTCTAAAGGAATATACTTCTAAATTATATCAAATGAAGATTCATTTTACAATTAAATAATTACTAAATTATTGAGCTCATCATTCTAGAGTTTTATTTACATACTTTTCTTGAAATAAGAACATACAAACTTCATACTGAGTGGCAGGGTGAAGTGCTAAAAAGTCAAACTCAGTCCTTTATGTCTGATTGAGTTGATATCTCAGGCTTGCTCTTTAGGATTAGCTTTAATCAGCAGAGTTCTAAAAAATCCTAAATCGGGTCCAGTCAATTTTCCCACCCCTTACAAACTTCCTTTGTGGTTACCTCCAATTTAACTTAAAAACTATTTAGTTATTAAAATACTATGTGGTAACTGGGAATCTTACTAATGGCACACTTAAAATAAAAACTAGTTTTGTGATGTCTCAAAAAGATTCTCTTGGTGTAAATGCCTTCAGGACAGGCTTGAAAAATCACTCGGATTAGCTATTTTTTGCTTCAGCTACAAGGACAAATACAGAATTCAAAAGGACCTCTTCCATTTCTTTGTTTGGCTTTTTTGTTGAACACAATTTCCTTTTACTATAAGATGCTGGTAGTTATTGCTAAGTTACTCAACTAATCAGTCACCTTGAGAGAATATGAAATAATGAAAGTTTTTAATGCAGTTAGAAAACCTCCAAACTCATTAAGCTTTAAACACACACAAGTGATTAGGGAATAAATTCTGAGTACTTCTGAAACCATGATTGACAAATGATCAATGACCTGTGGGAATAGACAGCAGAAAACCTCAGTTTTGGGAAATGGACAGCTATGATAATGTCATGTATATCATGAAAGAATTCAAGTTAAAGTGTCCCAAGCATTTGTAAGCTCATGTCATGGAAACAGGTGGATGTATTTTAGGTAAAAGAATCTCCCACAACAAAATTTTACTCATTTCATTCCTGATCACACATCCCAAGGCAAGCAAGTAGTCAGAACCAGCTAAGAGATAATAACTGCATTATATTTATTTTACTTCATTGTTAAGTGAAGCACAATTTCACTTAATCTTGTTTTCCTGAGTCTGGGCTGACTTGCAGTTTCTTTAGGGCAATATATGGAGATCTTTTAGTTTTGAGACATAATTGACAGTCTGGTGGTTGCTCAGGTTCTTACTACTGGTCTAGTGGGAAAGAGATACAGGGTCCCTTGCATCTTTGTCAACACAGAGAATATCCTCATTTTAGAATTTACTTTTTCCTAAATTTAAATATTTTCTTTGACATTTCTAGGCATGGGAATATTAACAACCAATTGCTTGTTTAACAAATGGTTTATGAAATACCTACATGGGAACTCAATTGTCTATCATAGAGATATTCCCCTAGAATATCACATTTAGTGGCTGATTTCTATCAGTGAAGGATTAACTATTTGAAGAATTATGTTTGTTTCTAACATAGTATCTCTTATATCATGCAGTTACTTCTACAGTAGAAATAATAATTTTATATACTCATGATATTAATATATCATATCTAGGATGCATTTTTATGTGTATCACAATTTTTACAAACCATTTACATTTCATCGTTGAACTTGTCTCTTGCTTGGAAGTGATTCTTTTGCTTCTGGGCTACTCAGCTGCGAAGCATAGCAAAGTATTTTTCTAAAATTGGCTAAAGTCAATTTGTTTTATGTAGATTGAGTATTTAACAATTTAGCATTCTAGCTCCAAATATAGTAGAGGGCAGGAAATGGTTAGAATAAAACTGGAGTTTGATTATGTGTATGTCATGGAAGCAATCTTCGTGGTTACCATAATTGCAGGTGTGTTGTTTTTCTATTTGTTGATGGTAAGAAGGAAAAATTTGTTTCTGTTGATGGTAAGTAGGAAAATTTTCTTCTTTCTACATAAATAGGAACAGTATGCCATGTAGTACTAACACAGTGTATGTAGTCATTAGGACCTATTATAGACCTTTGTTATAGAGAGCTCTGGCTGTTCTTATAATAACAGGGGTGGATTATCCCTCTCTAGAAAAGGGAAAAGCATGAGAAGATTCTGTCTAACAAATGTAAGCTTCCTGAACACCCAGAAATGAGCAACTGTTTGACTCAGCAGATTCGGACCCTCCCATTGGAGGACCAGCCCAGCCATAGACTGGATCTGACCCATCTTGTCAGAACCCTAGGGTGATAAACCTGGACAAACAACACTACTAACCCATTTGTTTTTATTCTCCAAAAGAACCTTTAACAGTGTCTATGTTTTGCTGGCTCTTATTATTGGGTAACTCTTTTTTTTTCATCTATTCTTAAAACATTCCAAAGACCTAAGGAGGAGAAAACAAACAAAAACTTCCCTTGAAGATGAGAATGGAATCCTTGAAGATGAGAATGGAATAGCAGAGATGGGGGAATTGCCTCAGATCACTTTCCAAAATACAGCTAATTGACTATTTTAATCTGATTTAATCTATCACCTATTCACCTATTTATCTGTGATGACAGTCACAGCAAAAACATTCACATAGTTTCATAAATGAGCAATTCTTGCCTACAGATCTGCCTGGCAGTCATCTGGGAATGACAACTAGGACACTAGGTTTAGGTTGGTCTTGAAACGTATAAAATTTTCTCATTGTCTTTTCTGAACAGACAGAAAGGCGGTAGCTGAGAAACAGGTGAATGAATGAGGGTACCCTAAATTTACTAATGACATGGATGCAGCAGTAATACCGTGACAGTTTAAAGATACATTCAAAGACGTGTTCTATAATCATATCTCTAAAAATATGAAGTGATTACTTGGATCTAGGTTAACATTGTTAAGACGAACACATTATTGTGTCACCATGGAGCTAAATACATAAATAAATAAAGCCCTAAGTCAACAAATAAACATAAATCAATATAAATTTCACCATATATTCTGCAAAGGTAGCTAAACTTAGGGGCAACATGGCCACTAAGCATATCTCTCTTGGTCATTTACAAAACCCATTTCTGTCAGAGGTTAAGGCTCCATTCCATTACTGACTTTATTCTTCATACATCAAGCCTGACAAAATGCTGCAACCTGACAACCCAGCAGGCAGTTTTCACTATTGTATTAATGACACCATCTGTTATGAAGGTCACAACAATGTATCTTGTTTTAAATTTTTCTATGGAGTGATTTATTGTCTTGGCTATAAATTTGTAAGAAATAAAATGCTATTTCCTCATCGTCTCCTGAAGTGATGGCTTTATTCACAGTTCCCAGCAAGTGCAGAGTTTCACACTTGTCATTTTAGTGGGGGTGGGTTACAAAGTATCATGGCATGCAGTCACAAGCCAATTTCTGACTCAAACCTGTACCATGATAAGAGGGGGAATTCTTGATGTACTTTGAGATCACCACAATAAGGGTTTTCCTGTTCAGATTTTAGAAAAATTATACAGAATTCAGGCAAGTGCATGAGATCTATCAGGAATACAAAGTAGAAGGATGTGAGAACAACTTTCTCATTCACCATGCTGAAGTCCCCCTGTCTCTCACATCCAGTGCTTTTACTATAGTTCTTGGGGTGGGCTGAGGGATGATGCTCTCCATGGAGAGCAGGAATAACATCCTTGTTGTCCTCTATAATGAAGATAAATTACAGTTGCAAGAGCTCAGCCTCAGCCCTTTCTTCTATAACCCAGGATGGATGGCACCAAAGAAGAAAAGAAATAACCGACCACCTGCTGCCCATCATTAATGTGAGCTATGAAATTCTAAATAGAAATCCTTGAGAAACCTTTACATTCCTCTGAATTTAGCCATACCCAAGCATTCTATCCACTTAGAAAATTTAGATTCTCAACTTTCGTTGATCTGTCATTGTATTCCTACAACCCAAAGCAGTTAACAGGGAAAACATTAAATAGCGATTTATGTTTATGTTGGTTGTGAGGAAATACCTTTGTATTAATATTTAATCAATTTTTGCACTTTTTCAGTTTTTTTTTAAAAAAATATTTATTTCAATAAAAATTGTGTATGTGCAGACTCAGTGCACATGAGAGCAAGTGCCATGCAAGTAAGAAGAAGTATTTGATCCCCTCAATATAGTGTAACTTTTGCAGTTGTGAACCACCCAATGTGAGTATTAGAGACAGCAAGTGCTCTTAATTGCTGAACCCTCTCTGCAGCATCACTCAACTATGCTTTGTTGTTGTTTTTGTTTTTTGTTTGGGTTTCTTTGCATTTTCTATATGCAAATTGCCTACCTGAAAATTCTGAAACTTTAATGAAGACTTGATGTTTATAGTTTTTAGGAAGTAATTTTGCATAAAAGTCAGGTTAGGGAATAAATGGGCTGTACTCATTGTGCTGGTGAATATAGCTTTGTGCATTCTTATGGTATTTGCAACTGGGCATGACTTAGCAAAAGCTTATTTATGGTGAGGTTCTAAACAAAATATATTTTAAAAACCACATCTGTGTTTTAGCATGAATGAGGTCTTCATTTGGTAAAGCATTTGTAAAAACTTGTGTGAGGTTTCCTTCTACCTTTTGCACAGACAAGAACTCAGCTCCCATATCTCCTATCACTGATGCTCAGTTTTCAGGGTTCACACATAAGCTTGGTGGCGTTCTCTCAGACAAAGTTTATTCTGGAGGGACTGTTTGCTACCTGCTGTTCTGAGGAACCACATGTCTGAACAGGGATCCAGTCCAGACTCTGGCAGTGATACTCACCCTTCCCTGAGCACAATGTTCCATCTGCTGACTCACACAGACTCCTGCTTTGTTCTTCGGTCATATTACACTTCCGCAGGTGTTGGCAGAGCTTACCAAACCATCCTTTTTCACAAACACAATGACCACAGGAGCACGTGCCATGGCCTGTGTAGCAACCATAGGATGAAGTAAGGGGAGGATATGAATAAAGAGCCAAAAAAAAAAAGATCAGTTTGTAAGATAGAAAGTGCAAATCATAGGTTCTCATCTCCCGTTAGACATACTTTCCTTATACATACAATCATTCAGACACATCTTTAAAACAGTGTCCCAACAGAGATCTAGCTTAGCATAGCACTTTTGGATGTGATGTAGAAAATAAGCTTGCAAGAAAAATATTGAAATTATATGAAATGGAATTATAGCTCCTGTCTGGATATTAGTCCCTTCTCATTGCATTTCTGTCAGCAGCATGTGCTGGTGTCATTCTTCATGTGCTCACCACAACACCAAATTCAATATTGAAGGCTAGTCACATTGTCACTGCTTGCAGCATTTAATAATTGCTCTCCTGGGGCTTACTAATAATAACAAACAGCATTCCTAAGGATTTTACCTTTGTCATTTCCTCTTCACGAACAGGAGTGAATAGAGTGTAAGTACTCGTGCCTTTTGTTAGTAAACAAAACTTAAAAATTGCATGAAGTTTGTGCTCACATTTGACCTTTTATTTTTGTCTCTTTGTTTCTGACATATTTTCTTTGTTTTTGAGATGTTTATTCTGTGATGTGCACCTCTATTTGTGACAGTTATGTGGGGGTATATAGTTTATGTATAGGGTATACACTTGTAAACTATGTACAGATTGCCAACTACTAACTAGACATTTGAATTTTCCAATTTAGTTTCCTATTTCTACTTAGTGCTTTGGTGTTTTTTTTTTTTCCTGATAGTCACACTTTCTTACAGCTTGATCACGCTCTGCCTTAGTTATTTGACTGGAATTTCTCAGGTATGTATTATAAACACAAAGAATTGCCAAGAACCAGAACATAGAAAATGAAAGATGATGGGCAAAATGATCCTGACAGGTTCCCAAGAATAAGGATTATTGTCATCTATACTGACCAGTGCTTCTGGCACTGTGACCACCATTCTCTCTTGACTCATATCTGTACATGAAAGGCTAATGGACATGACTCCCTTGTTGAGAACTCATTATTGTTAATTTAACATAACCACTCATGAATCCAGGCAGTGAATTTTCATAACATATGACAGTCGGGAAATTAATAGAAAGCAGATGAGAGACCAATTTAAAAAACTAAACAAATACACCTATTTCCAAAAGTCTTTCCTCATGCATTAAATGCTGTATTGTCACAGTCAGTGAAGTTCTGTGTTGTCTCCATCTTACTTGCAGGGAGCTGAACCTCTGAGGGTATCAAGTTGCACTTCAAATCCTATAGTCCAGACACACAGGACCAGAATTTGGTTCTACTTACTCTGATTTCAAGGTCCACATGACTTTTATCGCAGCACAGGACCTTTCATTTTGGGAAAGGTTCCTGCATAGTAATAATTTCTTAATATTTGTCTTTTTAATTCCTGCTTCATCTTTAGGCTTCTTCTTAGCTCTTTCCCCTTCTAAGACCTCTTTTTTCTTTACAATTAGTTTACTTATGTCATTTGATAATCGACATTGATTTTATCCTCCTGCTTGCTTTTATGATCTAATAGATGATTTGCTCTGCTTTCCTTTCATCATTTTCAGTTGTCTTAATCAAACCATGGAATTTCTCTGTGTCTGTCTCTGTCTGTCTCTGTCTCTTTGCCTCTGTCTCCTTGTCTCTGTCTCTCTGTCTGTCTGCCTCTGTCTCTGTCTGTCTCTGTCTCTCTGTCTCTCCCTCTCCCTCTCTCTCTCTCTCTCTCTCTCTCTCTCTCTCTCTCTCTCTCTCTCTCCCTCTCTCAGTGTGTGTGTATGTTTTTGTCTATTTGTGTTACTTGGGTTCAAATCCAACAGTTGAGCGTACTTGGTAGCATTTTACTTTATTCTGAGCTACATCTTAAAACTTCTATTCAATTTTATTTCTCTCTTTGCATGGAATTCTCTAGTGTGAAGGAAGGCATTCTGTTATTACTTAAAAGAACCCATGGCTCCTCACAGAGAATAATATAATACAAAATATTTATGGGAGGAAAAAAGTCCATATTTGCCATTTGTTAGCTCATTTATCAAATCCTTTTACAAAGTAAAATTGTCAACTATACCAGACAATCATCAAAATGCATCAATATTTACATTTTGATTTGTCATTTATACACAACTTCCCTTTACTTAAAATATTACTCAATTTTAATAGCATATTCTTTATAAGTGACTATAAATCAGTCATCAACTCAAGAAATATTTGTTATGTATTGCGTATTTTATTAGCACTTTGGAATATAGTAGAATAAAACATATATTGGCCTTATTTTCATGGCACTTTTAGTCTACCAGGGGTGAATACAAGACAGGGCAAAAAATACACTTGGGTTACTGAAGCTTGAAGAGTCTGTTACTATATTCAATGGTGAAAACAGGGCAAACAAGGGTACTCAAAGAAGTATTCAGGAAAACCAGGCATGAGAAGGAGCCAGGCAGTGAATGTTCTAGGAACAGAGCCTAGAAATCCTTGGGACAGGAAATAGCTGGGCATGTTTTAGGCAGTGAAGGCCAACTGTTTGAACAATTAATCAAATGGGAGTGTGAAGTTCAGAAATGAGTACATAGTAAGTTTTGGTAAAGAATTTAAATCTGAGAGGAATGAGGGAATGACAGAAGACATCAAGCTAGATGATGTGGCATAATTAGCAATTTGCAACTTCATTTAAGTAACTGAGTGTAGTTGGGTTTGTTGGGGGACATGAGTTTGGAGAGTGTGGAAGGCTATTAATGATCAAGTCAGGAGAAAATGAAGTGGCTGCTGTTTTGAGTTCTGCCTTGATGATAGAACATAGGCCTATGGGATAAACTGTGGGGCTGGAGGTGGCACATATGGGGAAAATTATTGATTTTCTGCCCTAGAATTAAATACATTTTATCAAATAAAGAAGTTTCAGGAGGTTAAAGGAACAATGTTAGCTCTTTGTTAAATCTCCTATATTTAAAAACTCTTAAGACACTGAACTAAAAGTCAGATAATTAACTGCATTCATATCAGAGCTCAGAGAACATGTTGAGGCTGATTCTAGCAAACATGCACTGATGTTTACAATAGTGCACATCATTCGGAGTTTTAGAAGTGAATGAGCCAACCCAGGGAGAATAAGTTCTGACAAACTCTAAGCTTTAAGGCTAGAATACAAAAAGAAAAGCCAGACAAGGAGTAAAATCCAGCAAAGGAGGATATAACAAAAACAAAAAAGAATGTCTCAGAAATGAAGACTACTGAGCATAATTTCTGAAAATTTTAGTTAAAAAATCATAAAAGCATACAAGTAGACAGTTGGCTTTAAGTCAACTTTTCTCTAGCAGGTCTTACTACATTGCCACTGAAAGTTACAGAGTAAAGTAGCTGCCAGCAGAACTCTAGAAAAATAGTTTATGCTGCTAACTCACTGAGAACAATGTCACAGTTAGTGGTAAGAATAGTAGTGATACCTCCTTCATAGAAGGAACATTCTGGAATTATCTCTGGGGATTGAGTTTAATGAGTATTCACAAGACTCTGAAAGTGCTTTTGTCTGCCTTCCTTAGACTTTGAACAGATGGGCAACTTTTTACAGGCAAAAAAGTCATCCTGTCTGACATGTTCATCTCTTCTCATTGCCTTAATTTTCACACTGAAATATGCACTAAGAATGCTCTGTACCTCACTGTCTAGTGTAATACAATACTCATTGCTGGTGGGTATTTACATTTAGTCAAAGTAGGTAATTTTTAAAAATTAGTTTCTTGATATCATTAGGCATAGGACAAGTACTCAATATTCACATAGGTCTGTTGGTATTGTAAATAATTCAGATGTCTGAAATTTCTGCCAACTATGCAAGATTTATTGCATGTGTCTTGAGATAATAACCTTTCCCAATGCAATTTAACTTGCCAGCTCTGTTAGATTGCTCCTTAAACCATTGGACTGAAGTTCTTAATTGGTAAACTAATTTATTTTTATCTTTTATTGATTAAATTAAACATTACAAACCCTTGTCATTTCTGAATTTACAATCGGAGATATATGATTTTCTTCAATTGCAACCATGAGCTGGAGAAGTCCCAGAAGAAATGGGAACTGATTATGTAATTAAGAGGTGGCTCTTCATTATCCTTTCTTACTTCTTAAATTGGACTCCTGGGCAGCTATTCCAGGAGCAAGGGAGAATGACAAATGCAACCGGCAGTCTATTTCTCATTCTCACCCTGGGTGTAGGGCATGTAGGAGGGAAGCCTCTGATTAAGCTTATATTCACTAAAGTAATTAAACACACATAAACCAGCATCTGAATATATTCTCTTTATGAAATTAGAAAAATTATGCATTGCTGAAAACGAATAAATCTTAGGAACTATCCCTCGGACAAAACATTTTTAAATAGTGACTTATTTGAAAAGAAATTCATGCTAATTATCAGTTACATCCATTTTATTTGTTAACAAAAAATGTTTAGAGAAAATCTACATACCCTTTATGGTGATCAAACATGACTCACACAGAAGCTAATTAAATGAAGAATGGTCCTACTTCACACTGATTTTCTTTTTGCCATTTTTGTGACTCGTTTTGAGGTTGCAATTTTGGTTCAATCAAAACTGAACTGTTTAAAATTATGAAATTAGTTACATTCACCTTTGAGTACAATTGCTAATTTATCTTAACCTGTCAGAGTGGGTTTAATCATCTTTAGTTTTATTGTTAGGAGAGTGGATAAACAATATTGGCTCTTGGTTTTTACATGTTTGCTGATTAGGTAGACATGTAGATGTTTGGGGTTTACATATTTGTTAGATAATATTCTCAAACAGTTCTTGCTTTTGAAGTAGAAGCTGATTTAGTTCTCCGGCCACAACCTGAATATGCAGAGTTGTAGCTAAATGTCAAGGTGAACCCACAAATCAGTGTGGTGGTAAACGGCGCACGTGATCCAAATTTAAAATATTCAATTTACTCTATTCTATATGC